TTGTTCCCGTTTTCGCAAATGTCCATGTGATTGGGCAACCGGAGTAGTCACCACGACAGCAGGTCGAGTCCAGTGAATCGCCCATACAGGGCAACGACAAAAGCAAAATCCTGCACAATGTTCTTTACTACAAACCACACACAGCTAATATGAACCACACACGTGCAAAAAATTGCAGTGAAAGGAACGCGTTAATTCTAGCAGGCAGAGCAGCGCGTGTGAGCATGCAAGCACGGGCACACACGCGTTTCTGTTTCCGCACGCAGACAACGCGCTACAGCATACACGCCGTATTTCTCTCCGCCGCAACGCGAAACAAGATCAACTTGTGCTGCGCGACCCCGGACTGCAAAAAGCACGCGAAACTAGCCTGCCGTGAGCGGGGACGGCTACGCACGGTTAACAAATGGGCCCGTCGGTATCTACCGTCCCCAGGGGCTAATACTTTGACATACAGCAAGTGTGTGGACATTGCACAGCCTCGAGCGCAGTTTATGGCGGGACGGCTTGGTCCGCATTCGCCGGCGATTAAAGCTAAAAAATAGCAAACGGGGATTCGCGCCGGCTCATCCAATGCCCGGATCCGCTGCGTCCGTGAAACGGTGGCGGCGTTCACTATTTTTTAATTCCGTCCATTCGAGAAGTTCATATGACCGCAAAAAAATACAACGGACTACACACCACAACACACACACTACACACACACACACACACCATCAACACACACACACCCACACCGCGGCATGTTTAGTAGCTTTATTTGAACTACGCGCGAAGTAGAAAGCAAAACTTTGGCTCCGCATGCCGGGTTTTCATACCTGAACACGGGGGAACGTGATTAATAGCAGGCGGCTGCCAGATGACTGCTTAGAGCGCTGACTAAAACAATGGTAATCGAACGTGAGCACGCTATTGTTCTTACGCGCGCAGCGAACAACGAACGATTAATCCGGCTTCTTTCCATCGCACTTCTCTAATTCTCTATATGGCTACTATGGCCCTATGTTACAATGCTGTACATAAGCTTTATGTAGCATATAAAGATCAGCGATCGCACTCTACCCGTCCGTGCGAATTCCCCCCCCCCCCCCCCTTCCGCAATCCTATAATCCCTCGGTGATTTTAATGCGGAATAATATTAAGACGACGCGAGATGGCGTGATGGGGGAAAACAGTTGGTAGGCAAATACGAGTCAACACGAAACAAAAATTAAAGATGTCCATTAACGCGTAGAAATCAATGCGAACAAGCTGGAATTACGAGAGTAAGCTATTACAGGGGGTCCGCGGCGCGGGATAAGGAACGTAGTAGTAGGCAACAAACGAGCAGCGGCATCATCATCACTCATACATGCAAATTCATTCATCATCATCACTCACATCATCATCATCATCAGCAGCAGCAGGCAGCAGCAGCAGCACAGCAGTAGGAGGAGGGAAGAGGAGGCCAGAGGAGGAAGAGGAAGAGGAGGAAGAGGAGGAGGAGGAGGAGGAGGAGGAGGAAGAGGCAGAGAAGAGGAGGGGAGGAAGAGGAGGAGGAGGAAGAGGAGGAGAAGGAGGAGGAGAGGAGGCAGGAGAAGAGGATGCAGGCAGGCAGCAACAGCAGTAGGAGGAGGAAGAGGAAGGCAGAGGAGAAGAGGAAGAGGAGAGGAAGGAGGGGAGGAGGAGGAGGCAGAGGAGCAGGAGGAGGAGGAGGAGGAGAGCAAGGGCAGCAGCAAGGCAACCAAGCAAGACACAGCAACAATCGTATGTAAGTAGTAGTACTACCATCAAGCCGTAGCAGGGCAGCAGCTGCTGCAGCAACTCCCTGCGTATAAATGCGCGCGGGAGAATTATTTCTCCGTTCATATCATTAATTTCTCTTCGCGCGACTAAGATATGTGAGAAAAAGCCAGCGACGCGACACCTGCTGTGTGGCAGTTTTCTCTCGCCTCCCTATACCTCGCGCGCTCTTCTCTCGCTCTTCTTCTCTCTCGTTCTCTCTCTCTCCTCGGTAGGCTTCCTCTCTCTCGCTCTCTCTCGTCTCTCTGCTCGTTCTCTCTCTCTTGCTTCTCCGCTCTCGTCCTCTCTTCTCTCTCCTCTCGTCTCTCTCTCTCTCGCTCTCCCCTTCTCTCTCTCCTTGGAGAGCTAATCGTAGCTGCGCGCGAGAGAGTGAATTAACCCAGGAAATTCTACCATCAATATCTGCTCCTGGGCATTTAAACAAAATGAATTGATGTCATTTTATTGGGAGAACGTAATGACATTATTATCGTATTCTGCCGAACGTTTGTTATTTTATGATTTTATTTCGGATCTTTTTCGATTTTTTGGCTCGATTGCGTCTTCATTAAACTGTATCCTGACTACGTACACAATGTTTACAAGCGCTTATTGTAAGATATTATTATTATTATTAGCCTTCTGATTGTATTTTATGGTGGGCGTGATGGCGCGCGCGAGAAGACACACTTGGCGTACAGAAATAGATTGCATACATAGACTAGCAGCCCAGCGGATTGTGTCCAAGCTATATAACCTCTTAAGCTCGTTACGTGCTTCCGCGCCACATTAACTTAAGACAAGCTGACAGCGTCGTGGTGGGGGAGCCGACATACAGAGAATGTCCGTCTTGCTGCTATCCTGGTGGCACGGCCGCAAGCTCTTCACACCACACACAGCATAACATAATAACATGTTGTGTGCGTGCGTTGCGTGCGTGCCGTGCTGCGTGCGCGCCGTTCATAGAATACCCTGACGCGTTTGTTAACACACCGACATAATATTTACTGCAGTATTCACACAATAAGCGATCCGTTACAGAACCAATATCTGTTCCGGAACGCCATTGCGCAATATCAAAGGACCATAGCTCCAGCATAACACTAATGATCGCCCGCTTTATCAGGACAAGAGACCAGGGAAAATGTACATGATTGTTTTTTTCAAAGACACATGTCGGTTAAGCGTGCGCCGTTTATCGCCGAGGCCAGATAAAGCGGGACGACAGTGGTATCCCAGAATATGTATCCAACACACATTTCCGGTAGAATATTAATAGGGCAATATATCCATGGGCAATATCGCAGTGAGCTATTTGCAACTGCAAGCAAATCGGTCATCATCCTCCAGTGTTCATATGATATAGTTGACTAATGTACAAGGCTGTATTCGTTGTAGGGGGGAATATTGCTCCAGGAAATGACATTCACATTTTGTAGCAATTGGGGTTGGGGTTAGCTTTTTCGCAAATATTATCGTTCCGCTGAAACCTTAAATAATTTTTTTTTATTGGGCCGTAGAAGAGTTGTTGTCAAGGATGGGTTGTTGTCTGGTGGGAAACCGCAGAAGGGGCTATACTGTTGTTCACTGCAAGGAGGTAGGAGATCATATGTTCAATACGGTTTACAGTCGCTATAGACATGGTGTGACGATTTGTCAAATTAGTCAAACACATGTGTTTGTGGCGAATAACCAATATAAAATGCCAGAACAACATATTACTCTTCTCAAACAACATGTATATTCACAAAAACATATATACCTGTTTGCAAATAAACCATTATGAAATCCGCGGAAACCACTACCTGTTTTCCTCGCGGGCACAGATGATATATTCGCGTGCCGGCGACATGCTTTATCTCAAAGCTTGCTTTTCTGAAAGTTGCTTTTCCACGGCCGCTGTGCTTTTTCCCCTTAAGCACTGGTCCCCGCCGCCAGCGCCTCTCACAAGCTCTCTGCCTAGATAGCACCTGACGGTTTTTGCTGTGCGCCCGAGACAGTGGGGCCGCGACTCCGTCTATAGACCTTCTCCACGTGACGTCATAGGCATTAATGCTCAGCTGCTTAGACTGGTAAGAGCCGGTGCGGCACCATCCTCGTCCAGAGACAGGTACACGTCCAGAGCCAGTCTACCAGCTTTGATCAACCATAGCATAGAATTAGCTGCAAGTAATGCTTTCCCCTTCTTCTATCTATATGCAAACAAACTATAGATTCTCGTGCTAAACGCAAGTAGAAGCTAAAGCAGAAACTCGTAGAGAGAAGATTGCATTGTGTGCGGTGCTGATTCCCTTATGCCATATGTAGGTCGCGTTTAAATCTGTCCTGGATTGTGAGAGTAAAGGTTTACCGGTGTCTGTCAAAGGTGAGTTTCTTTGGATGTACAATATCGTAAGACATTGAAATCGCGTGTCTACTGATAACTTACTTTACTTAAGTATCCTACGCAGAACTGTTGAGTTGGCATTGGCAGCAAGCCATGTACAGTCGTGTAAAGCAGTACAAACAGAGCACTTTTCCTTGGGGTGAGCAGGAGCCGTGATACCAGTCATACACTATGTTGTACTTATTTCAACCATCACCCACCAGTAATAATAGCTAGTACGTATGTAGTGTGACGTAGGGTCATGTAACTATGCAGCATAAAACGTAGACCTCTGGCTATGAGACCATATTGATCTAATACAAAAGTGTTCCTGTAATTCTACTACTTATAAATAATTTACTGTAGTAGCATATAATATCATTTTAATTTTAATTATTGTTGTTTCATCATTACGCAGCTATATTACAATGATCTCGCTGCTGTAGTTTATTCCCTTGATGCATTTTATTCTCCTAGGTGCTGCATTCCCAAAGGCTTTTGGAGGAACCGTTGCAAGTGTGGGTGATTTGTGAGAAGGATGGAGGTGTAACTGTTGTATACGGCCACTCTAACTGCATGGCAGGGCTTGGGGAGATATGCTCCCATGTAGCTGCGACACTCTTTGCCATTGACAGTGCATGGTAAGTATATATTTAACTGGAAAAAATCAGTGAGCAAACATGAAATAAACCCATCATAATAGTAACAATTCTTCCCTTCTTAGTAAGAATTTTTACCATGGTTTTAACTTGATTAATCATAGTTAACATTCTTTCTTTGTCAGCTGGTAGCAGCAAATATTTTCCGGTATCGCATTCTCGGCTAGTATTGTTACGGCAGATACGTGGCAGGGAGTGCAGTTTGCTTATAAAAGGCCTCAGAAAAAGCCATGGCTGCCACCAAATTTTAAGCTGTACTATCGCCATTACTGAAATCCTTGATCCTGTCGTCCCAACAATGCTAGTGGTAAGTAACTTGACATTTAGGAATATAATCAGGTCTAAAATATACTATAATGTATGTTTTTTTCACTCAGGTGTTGCAGCAGCATAATCCCCTGTCACCAGATTATGTGCCATGCTGTATTCGCCCATGGCAAGATTCAACACGAAAAGAGCTCGTTTTACTGGCTGCAGAATCTCATGATGAGGGAGAACAGCATGAAATAGGAGAAAACATGAGAAAGTATGTAGGTGTAGCATCATATATAGTCGTGTTCGGATACTTAAACTTGCCAGAATTTTCTGTGATAGAAAGTCAAACACTTAAGCATGCAGGGGTTCGGCTTATTTTTGTTATGTTTCTTGGGTTTTATTCACCTCATCGAAGAAACTGATCACTCATGTTGACAGGCCATGGCATATATATGTATTAATTTCTATATATAATATAATATATATTGATATATAATATAATATATATTATCTAATACCATGTTATCATCCTGACCATTACGCTGACTAAAAATATTAATGATTGAAACTATAAATTTCAGACTATAGAGATCAACAGCAGCAGCAGGCCTATTAAACCTGGCTGGAGCACCATGGGGCCCAGCCTCATCAGACACAATTTCCGAGCCAGCACTTCATAACACCACCGAACCACCCCAGCACATCAACGATACCCCACAAGAAAGCAGCTTCATCCGACAGCAATCTGACAGCGCGACAAATGTCTCCTTGACTTTGTCGATTCGGGCAGCGAAGTTCAAATTGGCCATGCTGTGAACTGTACATTCTGTTAGACGGAGAAGCTTCTGTTGGGCGTTGGCCTGACTTCTCAAAGTGTTCTGTGCTCCAGGTACTGGCCGACAAGTATGACACTGTTTAACACGACCTGTCATGGAATATAAATTGTGACAGTTTTATTATCATTATTATATGTGCATGTTTCACAATACCAAGACCAGCCAAATGTAAATTTGACAAGAGCCGCAGAGCGACTGTTTCAGCTGGAGGTCTGTTGCTACCTGTTTGTACTAGTATCCTGACTGACGTCAATCCCCCCCACGTCCAAAAATCAAGACCCTACGCGCTCGAGCGGTTAAAAGTTGTGACCATAACTGTTGACACACGGACGACTGGACCAATCATCGCGATTCTACAAGCTGCATCTGACTTCGTCAAATAAAAGGATTTTGTCTCATGTCGAATGTTGCCTTTATCACCGAAGTAATGGCCAGAGCAAACAATAACAATGCACGGCTGGTAAGGCGGCATGTCTGTAACTGAGTACTTGTAGATTTAAAAATTTTAATAAAAACTTTCATCACCTGATGCTGCAATCCTTCGTAGAATGACTCCTTTCTCCGCCTTCTGTTTTGCAGGCTTTACACCTCATGGACATCTCTAATTGTACAGCTCGTGTTCACTCCCAACCACCTGAAACTATTTAGCCAATGTCACCCCTAGCCTTTTGATGGGCATTTTCTGCATTCCGCTCCTAAAATTATTTTGTATAATGATGGGTAGGTTTTGATACCCCTACATAAATTGTACATAAGGCACACCTGGCATCTTTTACCTTGCGTTGGAGAAGTCCATGTTCTGAGGCTGGTGATGGTACTACATTGCAAGCTCGAGAATTTGACGGTGCCACCATGTATTGGGTAGGGAGGAGCAGGAAGCTGTCCCTTCTTCATCTTACAACTGGGGAAGATAAGAGAAAATTATTGCGTCCTACATTAATCATAGCCAGTAAGAACAATGATGTTAACTTGATTTACACCCCGTTAAAAAACATGGATAAACATTTTACTACAGCAGGGGAAAATTTTTACTATTATGATGGGTTATTTCATGATTTGGCTCGCTATTTTTTTCAGTTAAATATATACTTACCATGCTGTCCTGCAGCTGTCGGAGTACAAGCTGGCAAGGCTACATGAGGGGTATCTCGCGCAAGCCTGCCATGCAAGTTAGAGTGGCCGTATACAACAGTTACACCTCCGATTCCTTCTCGTACAAATCACACCACATCTTTGATCGGTTCCTCCAAAAGCGCTTTGCCTGGAATGCAGCACCTAGAAGAATAAAATGCATCAAACGGGATAACTAAGCAGAATCATATAGTAATATAGGCTGGTAATGATGGAAACAACATAATTCAGAAATTAAAATGATATATATGCTTACTAAGTACAGATTTTATAAGTCAGCTAGAATTACAGGAGAACCCTTTTGTTATTAGATCAATATGGTCTCATAGCCAGAGTCTACGTTTATGTGCAAGTTTAATAGCCTACTGTCACACTACTACGTACTAGTATTATTACTGGTGAGTGATGTTTGACAATTAAGTACAACATAGTTATACTGGTATCACGCTGCTCTCACCCAAGGATAAGTGCTCTGTTCTGTACTGTACCACGACTTACATGGCTTGGCTGCCGCAAGCACTCAACAGTCTGGTAGGTACTAAGTAAAAGTAAGTATCAGTGAGCAGCGATTCTAATCGGTCTTTACATATGTACATCCCAAAGAACTCACCTTTGACAGACCAACCGGTAAACTCTTTACTCTCACAATCCACGGAGCAGATTTAAACGCTGACGTACATATGGCATTAAGGATCAGCACCAACACAATCAACTTCTCGCTACATGCTTCTTGTTTAGTTCTCTGCTGTTTAGGCCACAGAAATCTATAGTTTGTTTGCATATAAATTCAGAGAAGGGAAAGCAATTCTTGCACAATCCTATGGATGATCAAGCTGTAGACTGGCTCTGGACGTGTACCTGTCTCTGGACGGAGTGACGGGTGTCCGACCGGGTACCAGTCTAAGGCCAGCCTGGAGCATAATGCTATGACGTCAGTGGAGAAAGGTCTATGAGACGGGTCGCCCCAGCCCACTGTTCTGGCGTGCGCCACAGCAACGCGTCAGGTGTATCTAGCTAGAGAGCTTTGTGAGAGGCGCTGGGGCGGGACCAGTCGTAAATCACAGCGGCCGTGGAAAAGCAACTTTCAGAAAGAACTTTGAGAAAGGCAATGTCGCGGCGGCGATATATCATCTTTTGTGCGTTTCCGCGAGGAAAACAGGTAGGGTTTCGTTCGCGGATTTTCATAATGTTATTTGCAAATCGGTATATATGTTTTGTGGAATATACATGTTGTTTTGAGAGAGTATATGTTGTTTGTGCATTTTATATTGGTTATTTCGCACAAACACATGTGTTTTTGAGCTATTTGACAAATCGTACACCATAATAGACCGAAGGTCCGATAGACGAAGGCCCGATAAGACCGAAGGTTTATTCGAATACGCAGTGGCTACACGTCCGGAATGCGTCGCCTAGCCTCCAGTCTACCGCATCCGGACATCCACTGATGGCCGTATTCGAAACGTGAATATGTCGCACATCCACCGATGCCACTATAAATCATAATGATGCCACTATAAACCGATATATATGCCCTAACCCTAACCTCCCCTTAACCCTAACCCTAACCTTTGCAACATTGTCGGTCTATCGAGACCTTCGGTCTATAGGGCTGCCCCGTTCAATGTTATAACTTAGAAGGAATTTAATAAGATTTGGTCTAGTCAATTCAATTGACTATCAATACGGTACGCTGGTGAGATACTGCCCACATAGGAGCCATCCACGAATGCTTGTCCAGTAAAAGGGTATCCATGAGGTATGTAATAAGTTAAATATTATCTACGAGGGAGCTGAGATTTGTCATATAGTTCTAGTATCCACGAAACGTTAGTTAAACTGTCCCAGAGGGAATTTAAGAGGATTTTGTCCAGTAAGGTGAGTGTCCAGGAGATATGTGCATGTTAAGTAAACTGTCCATTCTAAGAATTCCACTGTCCAGGGGATTTAAGAAGGTTTTGTCCAAGTAAGGTCATTGTCCAGGATGTATTTGCACGTTATTTAAACTGTCGCAGGGGCATTTAAGAGGATTTGTCCAGTGAGGCTAGTGACCATGAGATATGGCATGTGAACGGTTGTCCAGGGGCAGGCATCTAAGAAGCCATTGTCGCAGTCCAGGTTGTCCTTCCCGTGTTAGCGTGCCGCCCGTTCAGCTCGCTTGACGCAGCTGTGGCTACCACCAGCATTCGTTTATCATGGTCGGCCCTCAGCACGCAGCAGCAGCAGCAGCACTAGCCAAGCAACCAGCAGCAGGCAGGCAGCAGCCAGCAGCAGCGGCAGCAGCGACGGCAGAAGCGGCGGCGGCGGCAGCGGGGGCAGCAGTAGCTGCAGACGCCCCGCTGCAGACAGATGGGGTTTGCACAGCGCTACTAATCCCACATGCTTATTCATCATCATCATCATCATCATCATCATCATCATCATCATCATCGCCATCGTTGCCGTCATCACAGCGCTGCTTAATATCGCTTGTAATATCGCTTTAGGCGCATCTAGCGCGTAAGATGATCAGCGGTGATACGTTCGGATCTTATCATCTCTGGCCTCGACTATAGAGACGGCGATTTCTCACCTTGTTAAAATTTACCGTGGCGGGCATTTTTACATGTATTAAAGCTTGCACTGTGTGTCTTCTTATCTCACTCTCGCCAACTCACTTTCTCGTCGTTGTGCTAACCCGCTTTCTCATCTCTTGACCTCTGGTTCGCGGGCAAACAAAGAATGGCCACGAAGTGTCGCCTTTGTCAAAATAAGGTGCCCCCGCTAATATCATCACACTGACGGGGGCAAGCACTACAAGCTAGGCAATTTCGCTCTCTCAGATCAAACACTGCGATAACGTTACATATACCACGCGAGTGTCAGACGTGAGAAATAGATGAGAGATCGAGAGCCGAAAGAGGGGAGATAACGCGCGCGCAGGGAGGGAAAGAGAGACAAAGCGAAAGAAAAGAGAGAGGGGTGGAGAGGCGAAAGACAGAGAGCAAGAAAAGAGAGAGTCTCAGGAAAGAGAGAGAGAGAGAGCGAGAGAAGAGAGAGAGAGAGAGATAATGCTCAAAGAAAAGAGAGAGAGAGAGAGAGACAGAAAGAGAAAGAGAGAGCGCGAGACAGAGTACACGGAGCAGTCGACGCGCGAGGGCTGCCGACAGATTTAATACAATCGCCACGGCCGCGCACGCACAATGCCTGCATCCATGTACCGCAGCCAAGAAATGAACTACGTGCTCCCAACATAAAGCCGTCCTCTTACCTCTCCCGCATCGCCGGGAAACACTCGGCTCCTTTGGTCGGCGACACCGCCGCTCTAACCCGGCTTCATAAACATTCAAATGAGAGCTTGTCGAGTGGGCATCTCCCACGCTCTCCGGCTCTCATCACTCTCATGTCCCGCTATCTCTCTCTTGCTCGCTCGCCTCGCTCTCTCTCTCTCTCCTCGCCCTGCTCTAGCTCTCGTTCTCACTCCTATCTCTCTCCTCTAATTCTCGCTCTCCTCACCGTCTGTCTCTCACGATCACTCTCGCGTTCGCTTTTTTTTTCTCGCTCTGTCTCTTTCTTCTTTATCGGGCTCTCTCTCTCCCTCCTCTCTCTCTCGTCGCTCTTATCTATCTATCTCTTTTGCCTCCGCGTCTTTTCCCCCTGATTTGTTACCTATTTCC